ATCACTACGACTACTACTACTACTACTACCACTACTACTACTACTACTACTACTACTACTACTACTACTACTACTACGACTACGACTACTACTACTACTACTACTACTACTACTACTACTACTACTACTACTTCGTCTACTGCTGTTGTTATTATTTTTACCACTACCACGATCGTATCAGCCGTGGCCGTCGACGTCGTCGAAATCGTCGTTGTGGCTGAGATGATTTCCCCTCTATTATTGGGCGGGCTGGATAATGTTGGGGAGTTCGTGTCTCGAGGCATGCATCCATGTTGGGCTGCCGTACACGCTAAAGAATTTCGAGCATCTTCTCATGAGGATCGCAGTAGGAATCAGCGGTTGTGGTTGTAGTCGTGGTTACAGTTGTGATTACTATCGTGTTTGCAATCGTGATTCTAGCCACGATTGTAGTCGTAATCGTCGTCGTGGCTTGTACTCGCAATCGCACTTTGAATATCTGTCGTAATCGTCGTCGACGCCGTGGTGGAGATTATATTCCCTCTATTGTTGGGCGGGCTGGCTAATGCTGGGGAGTCATTATCAAAGGGAATCGTGCCCTCTGGGCGACCTGCACGACAGAGGCGCGTTGAACACATTTGTAAGAGGATTGCAATATGGATCTGCACATCCTTCGCCGAAGGCGTTGCTCACAGTCTTGATGAGGATGGAGCATATGAAAATAGAGTTTCTGGGGCTCTTCGTGGGGCCTGCACTTCAACACTTCCTCTGAGTTTGGAGCTTCTCAGGATTGAGTTTCTAAGCATCGGGTTTCTGAAGTTGGATTCTCCGTGTGAGGGCGCTCCTGAGGAAGAAATATTAGTAACCGTCATATTCACAATCGCAATCGTGTTCGTAGCTGTCGTCGTCGTTGTTGCGCGGCGGGCGCCGCGGAACGAAATTATCCTGACGAAGGACCCAACCAGAAGCAGTTTTGAATACCGCTTTCAGGGTCCATCTTTCGACGGGCGTCCCTCTGGATACAACCTTCTGGGCTCAATTTTCGCAGTGGGCGGGGAGGGCGCATGTGGAATGTGCCACTGGGGCTTTCGGTGGAGCTCCCCCATGCAGCCACGAGCCGGTGCCGGAATGGACGTGCGGTGGGCGACGCATGTGGATTGTGTCATTGGGGCCTTCGGTGGAGCTCCTTATGGGGACGCGAGCCGTGTGAGTGGTGTGCCGAAATGGACATGCGGTTAGCGGGGAGGGCGCATGCGGGCGCGGCCACTGGGGCCTTCATTGGAGCTCGCTATGGCACGAACCGTGTGAGGTGTGTACCGAAATGGACGTGCGGCGGGAGTGGAGCCGCATGTGGACCTTGTCATTGGGGCCTTCGGTGGAGCTCCCCATGGGGCCACGACCCGGGTGATGGGTGTGCCGAAATTGGCATGCGGTGGACGGGGAGGGCGCATGCGGACGCGGCCACTGGGGCCTTCGGTGGAGCTCCCTTTGGGGCCACGAGCAGGGGGAGGGGTGTGCCGACATGGGCATGCGGTGGACGGGGAGGGTGCATGCGGACGCGGCCACTGGGGCTTTCGGTGTAGCTCCCTATGGGGCCACGAACCGTGTGCCGACATGGGCATGCGGTCGGCGGGGAGGGCGTCATGCGGGCGCGGCCACTGGGGCCTTCGGTGGAGCTCCCTATGGGGCCACGAACCGTGTGAGGGGTGCGCCGGAAAAGACATGCGATTAGCGGGGGGGGCGCATGCGGGCGTGGCCACTGGGGCCTTCGTTGGAGCTCCCGACGGGGCCACGAACCGTATGAGGGGTGCGCCGAACTGGACATGCGGAAGGCAGAGGCATGGAGGGGGAGGAGGGAGGAGGGGGAGGAGGACGAGGAGGAGGAGAGGACGACGAAAGGAGGAGGAACGCGGGGCGCTGTCTATTCAGAACGAGGACCCTACACAGGATGGTTGGGACAAATAAGTTACCATCTACTGGTGGGGACCAAGTCCTTCAATATGGCCGCCGAAAAATATAATGAATTACCTCCAGATTGCGGGTTTCTACAGACCGATCAAGTCTATAGACCTCCAAGTCTAGGCCAGGAGGGCCTGTGCACCTGTCCACGGCCCAGGATGGGCCTGGTCAGGGCTGGTGGCCGTGCATGGGTTGAAGTTTCCCTATTAAGGTGCGCCCACGGGAGGGACACGGGGTAGTTACGATGCATATTGGGAAAGATCTCGCCTGTCCCCGATCTTGGCGCCTTCTCATGTGCCCGGCTTGGGTTCAAAGCGGACTCGACGCGGATCGGGTGCGCATTCTTTTCGCCAAGTATTCGTCAGCCTTGGCTTTTCATTTCCTTGCTTAAGCGCTTGCCAGCGATGTTACGTCACCGATTTGCGCCAGGGCGGAGGGAAGACTCCAGAAGCTCTCCGTCTTGTGGCCCGCGGGGAAGAGGTGGATCCGCGTACACATCGTAAGTACATATGCTAGATGCACGTTGGGAAAAAGCCCTGCGTGCTCGCAGTATTTGAGCATTCGCACATCGGCATGATGTCGAGCAGGTGTAGCTTTGATGTATACACTGTTTCAGCCCCTGTCGCATGTCATACCTCGCTCGTGTTGCGAAGGCCATCGTTGGGGGAGGTGGCCGCGGCAGCGCCGCTGATCAGGAAAGCACCGCCTGCGCAGTTTGCGCGCTAGGAGGCCTGGTGGGCGGAGCGGCGGGGCGCCGTCCCTGCAGCCTGATAAGGCCAAAGGAGTCCTTGGACTGGCTTCTGGCTTTCAGGCCGAGGCCGCCCGCCTGGGGACCGAGCAGACAGGGTCGGCGGATCGCGCCGCATCGCCGACGGACGAATCGGCGGTGCGGCGCCATTCAGAACCCGTTTTTCTTCGTGCAGACAAGGGCCCCCTGAACAGATACATTGATAAACCAAGATGTTGGCGCGCCCGAGAAATTGCAGCCGTGGGTCGAAACAGGTTCCATTATTCGGATTCTCTGGGTGGACTGTTCGAAGTCCTGTTAGCAATGTCCTGGTTTATAGCGCCTTAATCCGACATCGACTGATGCGGGGTGATCCTCAGAGGAGGTAAAGTCATCGATGTTGCTAGCCATGCCTTGTTTTCACCCTCGTCGGGCCCCCTGGGAGGCCCTCGTCGCCACCGCTGGATTCGCCTCGAAATCCTGGTCGGAACGCACCCTGGGAGAGGTCCAGGGAGCAGCGTTATCGGCACCTCTTGGTTTCCCCTGATCCCCCGTCCCCGTCTGCTCGGACCTTGCACGGGCGACCTGCAACGGAGCCGGCGTGCCCGCCGGCGCGACCCGGCTGCGAGTGACCAGGAGGCGGAGGAACCAGAAGATCCGCGCCCGCGCGCCACACGGGCCGGGTGCTGCCAGGAGTGGCGCTGGTCGGGAGTTTTGAGACGGGGGTCAATGCAAACGGGGGTCAGCCAGGGCACCAGATCCTGCAGGATCCTGCGAAGACCCCCTCTGGCTGACCCCGGGTTAGGGAGCCGCTCGTGGCCGCGAAGCGGCCGCGCATATTGGCTGACCCGGGTTTGCGAAGACCTACGTTGCAGTTTTTTTGTTCTTGCATTGCAGTTTTTTGTTTCCTGCTGACCCAGGTCTGGATTGACCCGGGTCAGAAGATCCCCAAGCTGGTCCAGAGTGGCCCCAGTGTTCGCAGGGAGGCGCAGATGGCATCCGCTGAAGAGGGAGAATCGGCATGCACACAAGCGTTTGGAGCTCCTTGCAGATTCCTCCACCATGCGTTGGTCCCCTGCAGCGCCGCCCGCGCGCCAGGGAGAGGGGGTCCAGCGCCGATCCAAAAAATCAGCGCGGACCTTCGAAAGTGAATGTTTATGTGTTTATGTCATTGATTGCCTGTGGATTCCGTAAGACATTTAACGAGGCATTCTTTGATGCCCACCGCGCTTGTGGTTCGCGGATTCACGAGAGGACCATATATACATATAACGGCGCACCGGGTCCGGGGGCCCGGGGCCGGGACCCCGACCACAAATGTGGGCCCCGGGGGGGGCCCGGAGGCTCGTCGGACCGCCGGACGCCGTCCAAGATCGTTCGCAGGCGGCTTCGGAACGCGCTCCGATGGCTCCAGATGCCTTCCAAGACGCCTGTCATGACACCAAGAAGGTCCCAGAAGCCTCCAAGACGCTCCGAGAGGCAGCCCAAGAGAGGCCCAAGAAGCACAAATCGTGCCATTCCTATGGGAAAACGTATATTTTTCGCATGTTCGCCTCTTGGGCTTTCGCCGCGTCCAAGACGGCCCAAGAGGCGCCCAAGACGGTCTACGAGGCCTCCGGGAGCGCTCCAAGGCTGCGCACGAGTGGCCCAGGACGGCCCCAAGACGGCCCAAGAGAGCCCCAAGACGAGTTCGAGAGGGGTCCCAGACGGAGAAAGCCAACCTCGAATTCCGAGCTTCCGGCCCAAGAGGCTCCAGGAGGCGCCAAAATGCCGCCAAGAGGCGCCAAAAGGCTTCCAAAAGCACCCCAAGACGTTCCGAGAGGCACCCCAAGAGAGGTCCAAGAAACAAAAATCGTGTCATTCCTATGGGAAAACGTATATTTTTCGCATGTTCGCATCTTGGGCTTTCACCGCGTCCAAGACGGCCCAAGAGGCCTCCAAGACGGCCTAGGAGGCCTCCGGGAGCGCTCCAAGGCTGCGCACGAGTGGCTCAGGACGGCCCCAAGACGGCCCAAGAGAACCCCAAGACGACTTCGAGAGGGGTCCCAGAAGGAGAAAGCCACTCTCGAATTCCGAGCTTCCGGCCCAACACATCCCAGGAGGCGCCAAAACGCCGCCCAGAGGCGCCAAAAGGCTTCCAAAATCAGCCCAAGACGTTCCGAGAGGCACCCCAAGAGAGGTCCAAGAAGCAAAAATGGTCCCATTTCTATGGGAAAACGTATACTTTTCGCATGGTCGCCTGTTGGGTTTTCACCGCGTCCAACACGTCCGAAGAGGCTCCCAAGACGGCCTAGGTGGCCCCCAAGAGAGTTCCAAGACGGTTCACGAGGCGCCCAGGACGGCAAAATTGGACTCCAAAATGGCCTAAGAGAGCCCCAAGGCGTGCCCGAGAGGGGTCCCAGAGGGAGAAAGCCACTGTAGAATTCCGAGCTTTCGGCCCCAAGAGGCTCCAGGAGGCGCCAAGAGAGCTCCAAGAAGCCCCCACGAGAGACCCAGGACGCCCCAAGAGGCTCCAAAGGCGGCCCAAGAGAGCCCCAAGGTGGGCCCGAGAGGGGTTCCACGCAAGTTGTTATTGTATCGCTCGGGAAAGGACGAGGATGAGGAGGAAGACGAGGAGGAGGAGGAGGAGGAGGAGGAGGAGGAGGAGGAGAGGAGGAGGAGGAGGAGGAGGAGGAAGATTCCTGGGTCTGTGACTCGACAGAACCTAAGCGCGCGCGAAGCGCGCGCGTGGTTCTAGTAGTTACATGTTGTCGTCAGTATGGTGTGAGTATTTTGTAAGTGCGTTGTAAGTATTGCAGTTAGTCATTTGCTAGGGAACGTTCGATTTAAATGTTTGTGACTACTAACACTGACAGTTGTAAGTCGACATTTAGACAGTGCCAGTCAGTGATTAGTAAATGTCCAGCTGATGAGCTACGAAGTGTTGATTGTACTTGCTAGCCCCATGCTAAGTAAGATATAGCTGACGTTGCTAGGTCAGGTGCATCATATCTAGTAAGTGGCTACTGCCTGGTCAGTAAGTGGTTAGCCAGTGATTGGTAAGTTGATCGTAAGTGGTTTGCAAGCTAGCTAGGCCTTTGTTAGTAAGCCCGCAAAACCTATACCACGTGGTTTCGTTGTGGTGTGCATAACCACATTGAGCAGGATGGTGCTTCAGTAGAGGCCATGGATATCAGAGACAACACGTGTTGGTTCGTGTGATGCCTTAACTGTGTAGCGGCTGGGGGCTCACGTGCGTTGTGTTCGAGGTGCTCAAGTTGTGCGTTGCGCTTCGCCATTGCATGACAGCTTGTTATACATTCCGGTATCACTACCGTGCAGTAGAATTTGCATACCATCTCTTTTGAAGATTCGTTGAGCGTTGACGTGCGTTGCAGCGTGCTTGAATTCAGCGTGCATTGTTTGATGCTGCTGCTGCTGCGACGCTGCGTGCGCAGTGCTGACAACTTACACCGCGCAAGGGCGCCCCACGCTGCAGCGCGGGGCGTGCTTGCACTGCGTCTCCGCTGACTTCCTGGGTTGGCCTTAGCCACGACTTGCACGCGCGCCCCTTCTCGCCCTCGCCCCCCCTGGCCCCGCGCGCGCCGTAGGCGAGGGGGGGCACCATATCCCCTCACGGTGCGAAGTTGCTTTCTTACGGTTGTTGCGTTGGCAGTCGTATAACAGAGAAGTGAAGATGCGACCTCATGTGTTTCGTGTTGTCGGTGCTGCGCTTGTGCAAGCTATGGCCCACCCATGAGACGCCATTATTACAGCGGTCTGGATCGAGGTGTTGTGCCCATGGATCGTGATAAAATGTGAGTCCGCGACACAGCCCCAGGAGGCACGGAGCGAACATCATAGAACCAACGCTTCGCGGGCGTGACCTAGGGAGCATGATCAATGTACCGAAGCCGCACACGGCGAAGTTGCGCATTCCCCTACCGTTTGGACGCGCGTATATGGCCACAGCTTGGGCCAAAGTTTCGCAGAATTTGTGGGCCGTGGGTTTCGCCAGACGTTGTACACGTTTCTTGGAGGCAACTTGCGGCAGGACGAGGAAGAGGAGGATGAAGACGAGGGCGAGGAGGAGGAGGGGGAGGAGGAGGAGGAGGAGGAGGAGGAGGAGGAGGAGGAGGAGGAGGAGGAGGAGGAGAGGGAGCTGGCGGGCCCGAGCATTTTGCAGGAGCAATCAGGCGCCAGCTTTGAAAATTAACGAGGAATGGGGATCACAGGTCAGGTAAATCGTGCCTCTCGATGATGAAGGGGGGCTGGGGCATCGGGTTACGACTGGTGGCCGCACGGTTTTTTTTCTCTCGCGCTGATGGCCTTCGTCAGGCCGGCACAGTACAACCCATGCGCGCGCAACGCTATGCAGAGGGCCCTAGACGTAGCGGCGAAGTTGTCCAACAGGGATGCCCCCAAGTGCTTCGGGGAGCGGCAGTACGCTGCGCCAGCTGGGGCAGTCGCAGCGCCTGCGCAGCAGGGTGCCCTGCGCTCCGCACAGCAGGCAGTCGGCTGTGGCGGCCAGCTCCTTCGCCTCCGTGCGCGCCTGGGGTTGCTGCCCGCTGGCCACCAGCGAGCGCAGGTGCGCTCCCTCGCGCAGGGGGAGCCTCACCCCGGCCCCCGCCGCTGCCCCCTCCTGCCTGTCCGCCACGCTGGTGACGCACGGCTCGTGCATCCCGCCACTCGCCAGGTTTGCGCCAGGTGTGCGCAGGAGGAGGAGTGGGAGGAAGAGGAGGAGGAGGAGGAGGAGGAGGAGGAGGAAGAGGAGGAGGAGGAGGAGGAGGAGAACCAGGAGGAGGAGGAGGAGGAGGAGGCGGAGGAGGGGGAACAGGAGCAGGAGCAGGAGGAGCATAAGGAGGAGCTCTCGGGGCCTCCTCGGGTCCTGGGGCCGCCAGAGGAAGACTCAGGATGAAGAATTGGTCTTCTTCTGGCACGCCCCGCCGATGGCCGATTTCCTGCTGAGTCCAGCTCGTTGTTGATCAACAGTTATCATGCTCTAATGTTTTCAGGGCAGTGGGTGGTCAGGGATAACTTCTGCATTGGGCATCCAGCTTTTTCACCAGATCTGCCCCAGATTGTACTCAACTGAAGTTATCCCAGATAACGTCCTGCCTTTTGCCAAGCACTCTCCTGAAGCAGGACTTATCCCGGATTCCAGCTTGCCCATACCAGGTCTATCTCGAAGAATTCGGGTACCACATGTTCTTGTGCGCAATACATGAACATGCCTGAAGCATATCACAATTCCTATGATTAGCATCACCGTCTTTCGGTTCCAGTCTAACGGATTCCCTGGGCCTCTGAGGGTTCTTGGCTAAGATTGCCATCGCCTTGTGTTAACCATTATTAGGGTAGGGATGCGTTCGAAGTTGCTTATGTACATATATATATATACATATATACATGTATGTATATACATATAGCCAGGGCCATCAAGAATTTGAGGACCCTCAACACTGTGCGCTGGAGGCACGATGGCGGATGCGCGAGAGTTGGTTCGATGTCATTTCCAAAGTCCGAGTTCGTCGTGAGTGCGCGCTGGACCTCCTGACAGTGCTCGTTGCTTGATCAGACTTGGTGGCAGGCAGATATGTGTTATTGACGTGCTATACGCGACTCAGCGGTTCTGAGGAGCGCCTTGCTCCAAGTGGCAGCGAGTGGCAAGAGGCGAGAGGATGTGTCCTTTCGCATCGCGGCCGTCCGGCGTTCTGCATCGAGCCATTGGCTCGAGGATTGATGACATCCGCATCCGCAGCCCGATGACGAGCGCTGTCATGCGTGACTAGGCCACGGTCTTTGGGAGGCAGCGTGTTGGAAGGGCTGCATGCGGGCAGGGAAGTGCCCACTCGATGCGGGAATCGGGGCGGGCCGTTGCTCCGCAAGCAGCGCCAGGTGGATTGCACGAGGGCGCCATCTGGAAGTGGCCCCGGGGGGTCGTCCTCCGGCCCCTCCTCCCCCCATCTCCATCCCAGCTCGGGCGCCACCCAGTGCTGTCAGGGGTTCGTCACCAGCGTCGAATTTATCCCTGTCCCTGAGATTGACACGCCAAAAGGCGACGACAATCTTTGGGATGCACCCTCAGAAGCTGAGGGAATCCCTAAGATCGCCATCGTGATGAGGCGATGCCCAACATAGGGATGGGGATATGTTCCGGGCCGGTGAGTTCGACCCGATCGAGTCCTTCGCTGTCAGTGGTTGCCAGATCTTCGGGCGGATCGACCGCAGGTCGCGCGGGGGCACGCACGCGTCGCGGTCTGGGCCGCAACAGTGCCCCTCGTCCAGGGCGGCGGTGCGAGGGCGCGAGGCAACGGCCCGTCGCGCATCGCGGGGGGCGAGGCGCGGAGCTGGGTGACCTGGATCGACCAGCGGAGCCGATGCTCCTCCTCCTCTTCCTCCTCCTCCTCCTCCTCCTCCTCCTCCTTGTTCTCCGCCTCCTCCACCTCCGCCTCCTCCTCCTCCTCCTCCTCCTCCTCCTCCTCCTCCTCCTCCCCCTCCTCCTCCTCCTCCTCGTCCTCCTCCTTCCTCCTTGTCTTCCTCATCCTCCTCCTCGGCCACGGCTCGCGGCAGGTTTCGGTTTCCGGGCCACTGCAGACAGCCGCGCCTCCCTGGAGCAGCGCTCTCTTGAGGCTGGGCTTCGCCAGAGCCACCGTCGGGGAAGCCAGCATTCCTGGGCCTCGGGAGACGGTGGATGTGGATGCATCCGGGCCCTGTGTGGCCCAAATATCAATATCCACCGCCCCTTCGGGGCCCCTGGACATCGGTGCCCCAGGGCAATGGATACGGATAAATCCCCGCCTCGCAGTGTGAGACGAGTGGCAGGGGCCGGGTTGCTCCGAGGTGGAAGGAGACGCAAGCGGTCAGAAGAATGCAGAATGTCCAAGATTGACGTCCGAGAGTGGGTATTCACTGCATTCTTTTGTAGCGCCAGACCATGCCCCGCCCATATTCTCCCAACCTACTTGGCTGCATGTGCCACGTGTGCCGTTCTTGCCAAATGATGCATGCGATGGCGAGAAGTGTTTTGCTCTCCGATGCCGCTCCAGAAGTCCCCAGAGCACTGGGCATGGCATTGGGCAGCGCGCAAGGTTACTTACAAACAAGCTGTCGGTGAGTGTGCCAAGCGGGAAGGGCGAAGATCGACGTTGTCACAGGGAAGAGGCAACGATGGAGGCGAAGCGAAGCAAAGGGAAGCGAACGCCGGAGTCGTGCGCGCTCCTCTGGGGGAGCTCGCCCGTGCCCATTGAGGCATGGCGCGTGGGAGGGTGGAGGGAGGTCGAGGGAGGCTCGCCGGGCCCGTGGAGGCAACGATGGAGGGAGGTCGAGGGAGGCCGCAGTCTCCGGTGCGCGTCTGCGCCCTGGCCTACGACCGCCCTGCGGGCACTGTCCTGTGGCTCCGGGCGGCGACCTGCGTGCCCGCCCTCGTGCCCGCCGACTCCGCACAGTGGAGACCCGTGCCAAGAAGCACCCTGCTCGCCTCCAGGGTTGCCATGGGTTTCGATGGTGCTGCGAGGGGAGTCGTGACGTCCCCACGCCAAAGAAGCAATGGACGTCCTGGGGTCTCGGGGTTGGGCTCCTTGCGGGAGGTTTCTGGTGGTCGGGCCCCTGCTGTAGGAGAATTGAGTGAGGACGCCGGGCAGGAGTAAGGGTGGGTTGTTGGCATGGTGTGGCCAAGTGACTGCCCATCGGCGGCCGTGGCTCCGCGCGCCCGGACCCGCGGGCATCCGCTGCCGACGCACCGGCGATGCGCCGGCGAGGCGCCAGCGCAGCGCTGCGATCTCGGGCAGGGCTCGAGGCCACGCACTCGGGTTCGAACTCTCGGGCACGCGTGGGGGCAGGGCTCCCACCTCACCTCGTTTGCTGCTGTTTGGACCCGGGCCTCCTCTGACAAGCGGCCAATTGGGTTCGAATGAGTGCCGCTGGCCCCTTCACCCCCCCATCCTCCCCCCCCTCCCCCTCGGGTGGACGATGCCTTTTGGTCGTTGTATCGGGCAGGGAGTCAGCTCTGCTCGGGGTGACGTTCGGTCGATGGGTGTAGCTCGGGCCCTCTGGACCATCAGATACTCCAATCCTCTCCCCCCTCCCCCTTCACGCCTCCCCCTCCCCGCTCCCACGCCTCCCCCCCTCCCCTCGGAGGGCGCCAACTTTCCACCTGCACCGCTCCTGGCCGAGGTCCGATCCTGCGCCCAGGGCTGGTGTGCCCACGCCCTCCCTGCCAGGGCGGGAGGGCGTGCACTCCGATCCCGGTCCGGGAGGGGTCTGCGCAGGGCTCGGTGCGCAAAGGAGCTGCGGCATGGGCAGGAGACGTTCGGAGGTCCGCTGGTCCGCTCGGAGGTGGACAGACCTCCTGCCCTGACGCGTCGATGAGCGAGTTGGCCGTTTTCGGTCCGCGAGGGGGCGTCGCGGCCGTCATTCTTGCGGGTCCAGGTGCGTCGGTTTCTGTCCCAGGCCGTTTTCAGTAAAGGGTGGTTCACTAAAGGGAGGTTTGTCCACCGCCGATCCGCGCAGATCTCCTGGATCTGCGCTGGACCCCGCTCATGGCGCGCCTCCAGCGCCGCCCCATGGCGCCGATATAGACAAGAGATCTGCGCGGGCCTCGTGGCGCTTCTTCTTCTTCTTCTTCTTCTTCTGGTATACAGTCGGCGCCGCTCCCCTCTCCTCCAGCAGGACGGCCCTGCGAGAGGACAGATTGCCGATTCCCCAGTCTCATCCCACACGTCCTTGCCGCGTCGTGTGGTTAGTGCAGCCGAAGAAGAAATACCCTGCGACGTATCCCAACCATCTTGAAAAAGTGACCATCTCAACGTTGCCAACTTGTCACAGATGATGGCATGGCAAGGAGCGCAAGTTGCTGCGAACGCTAGATTGGAAGCCCGCGCACTGCACGAAACACAGCACAGGACCGCTGGACCTCGCTACGCTGGATCGCACTTCGCAGACCCCCAGGGAGCCGCGAGGTCTCGGCGAGGTCGGCGTGACACCCAACTCTGATGGACCTTCCAGGAGCCCACGAAAGTGGCGATGGGTGCGCAGTTTGCAGCCCCCAGCCCCCCGAGGAAACCGTGAGGAGGAGGCAGGAGGAAGGAGGTGGGAGGTGGGAGGTTCGCGCAAGCAGCTTCTTCTGTAAAGCGAGTACCCAATCAAGAGAGGATTGGGAATTGCCTCCTCCCATCCCTTCCGCTCTCGGACGCACGCTGGCGGGCGGGGGGGAGCCAGAAGAAAGCCCAGACACCCGACGCTATGAATTGTTCAATTCGCGGCCCCAGAGGTGCCGACCACTTCCCCGGGGCCAGTTCTTCGCCGCGGATCCGCGTTTGATTGTCCTGGGGCCTGGCAGCGGGCCACGGAGGGCGAAATCTAGGAAAAACGCCCCGATGGGACGTATTGTAGAATCGGAGATTTGGTTTCCGGGCGGGGCTCAAACGACCGATCGGGACGATTTGTGCCCCCCCTGGAACGCCCCTGACGAGGCGCGGCTGCTGGAAAAAAAAATCCCGCGGCGAGAGATCCCAGAAGAGGCCACCATAATCAGCGGCAGAGGAGGAGGAGGAGGAGGAGGAGGAGGAGGAGGAGGAGGAGGAGGAGGAGGGAGGAGGCGGAAGAAGAGGTGGTGGAGGAGGAGGAGGAGGAGGAGGGGGCGGACGATCGAGGATCGAGGAGGAGGAAGGAGGAGGAGTAGCAGGAGGAGGAAAGGCGGAGGAAGAGGAGGATGCCAAAACCATACCGTCGGATCTGTGGCCAGGCGGGCAGGGGCGCGGCCCTGACGGGCCAAACCGGGCGGCGGGGGGCGGCGCAGGTCGGCGCCCGCCCCGGCGCTGGCGCCGGCCCCCTGGGTTCGCGCGGCGGGCGCGCGGAGCGGGCCTCCCCGCCCCCGCCGCCCTCCTCCTTGCCTCAAGCAGTGACGAAGCGTCCCAGCTCGCCTATAGAAAGAATGTTCTAAGAACCTTTTGTGGTCTGCACGAGATGTTCTTAGAACAGGTCTGGCTGGGACTGCCTTGTTTTAACACATCGGGTGTATGTTCTAAGAACACTGCTTTTGTTCTTAGAACATGTTTGGGTTCTCAGAACATGTCGCGGTAGGCTTATAGGAATGCCGGGACGGTCGGTCCCTGCTCAACCCGCCGCCCTCCGCCTGGTCTGCACGAAATGTTCTTAGAACAGGTCTGGCTGGGACTGCCTTGTTTTAACACATCGGGTGTATGTTCTAAGAACACTGCTTTTGTTCTTAGAACATGTTTGGGTTCTCAGAACATGTCGCGGTAGGCTTATAGGAATGCCGGGACGGTCGGTCCCTGCTCAACCCGCCGCCCTCCGCCTTCCTTCGGGGCGGCTCACCAGGATTCGGATGCACGTCCTGGGAGCTCAGATCATGCATGGCTTTGCCCTGGTCCGACATCCAGCTTCATCTGGCCCCATCCGGCCTGGTCCGGCTTCTAATCCCGCTTCAGCCCGTGTCATCCCGCTGCATCCGCGGCCTAATCTGGCGTAGCAGCCCCCCAATGGGGCTTAATCCTCCTTAGTTAGGGGCCGACGGTATAACATGAGCTTGTCCGCCGTCGGGGACGCCCGCCTCCGGGCGACAGGAAAGTTTACACCCCTACGTGGCACCGTAAGGGTATACACGTTCCAGCCGCCCTGGGACAGGCGCCTCCGGCAGCGAAAAAGTTCATGTTATACCGTTCTTCTCCCGTGGACTGAATCCTTTTCGACGAAGGCCTCCCGGTAGCTGCCTCATAGCAAGGGGGCCGGGGGCGGAGCAGGTGCAGAGCTGGGAGGGTGGGGGGGGGAGCAGGCTCCCGGGGGGGAGCAGTCTCCGGGGGGGGAGCGCGTCAACCCCCACCAATCGCAACGTTTTGGAGGTGCAGCGCTCTTCGAGGCCTTCCGCCGTTTACTGTTCGCCGCTCCTCGGCGGTCTCTCCCAGCTTCGGGATGCTCTCCAGCAGCTGTTAAGTCGGGCATGTCCCTCTAAAGGCGGCATATCCAAAAATGCTGTTTCCCCCATATTATATGCATACATGTATATATATATATATATACACACATAAGAATGACTTTGGGGGAGTTTTTGTTGGACTACCTGTAACTTTTCTGCCAAAATTCCCTGTAGGAGGACACGCCCGACCTGAAGCAGCTGCGCCTCGCCGAGGAGTGTCCCGGGTCGCCCCGGTCGTCCCGAGCGGCCGCCGGAGAGCCGAGCTACAGCCGATAAAAGCCAGGGACAACGTCGAGGGGCACTGGGTCGCCCCTGGATCGCCGATAATCAGGGGCCCGATAGCCTCGACCTGTCCAGGACCGCTCGGATTCGCCATCGGGGGCCTGTCGCCGATCCGCCGGCGATGTGTCGCAGATGCAAGCTCGATGTCTCCCCCCTCTGAGCTGGTGTTGCCCGAGCGCTGCTTCTCAAAGTGGGAAGACTTGGGCCCGCGCGAATCCAAAGAGCCGTGCGGACGGGCTGAATGTTCACGTTTATCGCAGACGGGGTTTGATCGAAGTTGGACGGAGACCCCCCAGCGGGAAATCGGTTTCGGGTTCTTGCTCGTGCCACGCGTGTTGGCGAGGCGAAGTTGCATGCGCGATAGAGATGGGAGATGGGCGATTCCGCCGCTGCCGCCGCTCAAGAGAGTCACACTGCTCCCGTAAGCCGCACGTGTTCGAGGATCACGGGAGAGATGAGGGGATGATTACAGAAGTAGAGATGAGAGAGAAAAAGCGAGAGAGAGAGAGAGAGAGAAAAAAAAAAAAAAAAAAAAAAATGGTCCACTGCGGCGCGCACCGCACCGCCAGCTATGTTCCGGCCTGCGACTGGTGTGGCAGGAGGGCCGACCAGGAAGCCGTGCTCCCTCGGGGCCAAGAGGGGGGGCGGAGAGCTCGCTCAGCGTCGTTTGAGAGCTCGCTCGCGCTCCAGACGCCTACGGCTGTGCGACCGCTGACGACACTGATGTTGCTGGAGTCATGCCTAAGTGCACTCATCTGGATCCTCGCTGGAATCCCGCACGGATGACCGACCCGGATCATGTTCAAGTGCTGTACGAGTGCAGCACGCTTCGCGCCCCCCGCGGCTCGACAGCGGAAGCGCGCACAGTCCAGCACGGGTATGGGGCCGCACGTTTTGCGTTCATTCCTCGGTGATTGGGGGGCCCCCAAACGGGGTGGTGACCACATCTGAGTCGATGGGGATTCGGGGTCGCTGCACGGTTTTTGGGACTCGAGTCCCTCTCCGAGGATGTCTCGGGCGACTGGGGCTTCCAGGGTCCCAAGACCGTGCGGTGACGGACCGTGCGGTGAGGTCTCTGGGGGTTCGAGGTCACCGCACGGTCTGTCACCACACGGTCCTGGGATCTCCCAGAGACAGCGACTCCCGCGGCCTTGCGGGGAGGCCCCGTGCGGCGGCGACGATTTTCGGTGGACAGCCGAGCATTCCCGCAGCAGCTGCTGCGTTCTGGACGCAGGGGGCGCGCCCCGCGCGCTGCCGCCGTCTCCGGCCCCGCAGTCACAATCCATTAGCCATGGTGACACTCGCGGTACGCCTAGTAGCTTTACTGGTAGCAATCGCACTAGGCCTAGTGGCAGTAGCAGTAGTCAGTAGTCCAAGTGGCAGTGGCAGTAACAGTAACACTCGTAGCAGTAGCAATAACAGTACTTCTAGCAGCAGCAGCAGAAATTCTTGTAAGAGCAGCAGTAGCAGGAGCACCCGTATTAGCATTACACTGGGCGTTAGCAGTATTCATCCGTGTATTCGCGGGACTTTTCGTGTAGTAGAATTAGTATTGCTTGTAGGAATATCATTGGTGACTCTTGGGCGCCTCTTGGGCCGTCTCGGGGCCCCCGTTGGCCGTTTTGGAGTCCTCTTTGAGGCCTCTTGGGCCGCATTGAGCGTCGTTGAGCCGAAAAGGCGAGAACTCCACAAACCTCCAAAAACCCAAAGGATATTGCAGATGTTGGCCTTTGGGGGCCTTTTTTCGGAAACCTCTTAGAGGCCATTTGGACCGTCTTGTAGGCCTCTTGGACCGTCTTGGGGCCGCGTTCTGCGTCTTGGAGCCATCTTTAGTCATTTCGGGGCCCTTTTCACAAATTTTAAGTGGTTGATTGGGGCCCTCTTGGCCTGTCTTGGGGCCCTCTTGGGCCTCCAAGTCATGCGGGGAGATGCGGCGGATCCCCGACGCGACGCGACAAGCCCCGGTAGATTTGGCAACTTGGGCTCTGGGACCTTGAAGATGTTGAAATGAAGAAAGGATCTGAGGGTACGCCCACTCCGTGCCAAGAGGCACGGTGGCGGATTCGGGCCTTTGGTAGTGTTTGTATGCGTCTTGAGTGATGTTGTAGAAGTAAAAATAGTAGCAGTAGTAGCAGCAGCAGTAGCAGCAGTAGCACTAACACTAGCACCAGCAGAAGCAGTACAAATAATATTAATAAATAGGATAATGATACTACTAGTAATTGTCATATTCGTGGTAGTAGTAAATGGTCGATGTAGTGGTTCGAGTCGTGATAGTATCCATAGTACTTGCAAACCGTAGTAGTTGTCGTAGATCTTGTAAGGAGAAGCCGTCGTAATCTGCAGATGGAAAGGGTAGTAGTTGTAGTTGCTCCCCACATCCAAAGTGGGTGTCTTGCATAATTCGGACACCCTCCGCGCAGGAACCTCCCTCCCACTCTGCGCCTCACTCACGCATTCACCCCGTCAGCGGTCATCATCACCATCGGTCATCATCATCACCACCACCATCATCATCATACCCAGCCACTCACCATCGATCACCATCACCATCGTCCATCGATCGTCATCATCATCAGCATCACCACCACCGCCATCATCATCATATTCAGTCGCACATCACACACTCTCCCCCATCACTCAGCATCATTTCCCACATCCAAAGTGGGGTTCTTGTTTTCTCTGGACACCCACCGCACAGGAACCTCACCTCCCTCCCACGTTCCGCCTCACTCACGCATTCACCCCGTCACCGGTCATCATCACCACCACTCATCATCTTCACCACCACCATCAGCATCATACTCAGTCACTTACCACTGATCATCACCATCGGACATCGACCATCATTATCATCATCATCATCAGCATTACCACCGCCGCCATCATCATCAGACTCAGTCGCACATCATACTCTCTCTCTCTGTCTTTCTCTCTCTCTCTCTTTCTCTCTCTCTCTCTCTCATCACTCAGCATCATTTTCTTTGGCCACCCCGCGCAGGAACACACCACCACCACATCATCTCCTGAGGCGTGAAAATGGGGACGTATTGGGCGGGAGGCTCGCCTGTGAGTGAATTGCGACGATGTTTCAGGCGGGAGCCCTCTCCTTATGGGGCCCGCACGTCACCTTCGTAATCCGAGCGGGTCATTGTCGAACCTGTATTTGTTATCATGTTGGGGTTCATGAGGTCTGAATATGTAGGAAGTATCAGGCGGCAGCCTTGCTTGTGAGTGAATTGCGAGGAAGTCTCAGGCGGGGGCCCTCCCCCTATGGGGCCCGCATTTCATTTTGGTAATCCGAGCGGGTCATCATCGAACTTGTAATTGTCGTCACCGTTGGGCTCCTGAAGCCTGAAAATGCGGGAAGTGTCAGGCGAGAGGCTCCTCGGTGAGCGATTGGCGAGGAATTCTCAGGTGGGGGCTCTCCCCCAATGGGGCCCGCACTTCATGTTGGCAACTCGAGCGGGCCATCATCGAATTTGTAATTGTCGTCAGTTTGGGGTTCTTGAAGCCTGAATATGGGTGAAGTATCCGGCGGGGGGCTCGTCTGTGAGTGAAGCGCGAGGAAGTCTCAGGCGGGAGCCCTCTCCCTATGAGGCCCGCATTTCACGTTTGCAATCCGAGCGGGCCACCCT